ATAATCAATGAACAAAGTAGGGGAAACTGGCCACAGTGGTTCACTGCTATTATTTCGCATATGTATGAACATATATGTTTGTAAAAATGTTATAATATCTACATAGGTACATTTCGTTGTCTTTCCTCACCGTAATTGGAATTCTGTGTAATTTTACTATGAATTTATGTTTATCTATGTCTAAGGAATCCTTCATAAAAGTGATTTACTGTAATAATTTAGCTAATTAATAATTTTTGTATTACTTCAGTGTATTTTAAAAATATTATTTCTAAAAATATATTGTTCTTAAAATTTAACTTTGTGGCACTTTCATCTTGTTTTCGGCACTATTTTTGAAGACCATTTGGCACATTTTGAAATTCTGAAATTCCATCCCTGGTTCAATCCTCATCAGACGGAGCTGAAATTTGAGATTTTTTTGTATTCTTAATTATGGAAATGTTTGGGTTTCAAATTTAAACCGAACTGTTTAAATTCTAAACCCAACGTATTGCTCTCTTTTTTTTTTTAACTTGGAAGGTTTGTATTTGAAAGGGAATTTAGTTTGGTCATATACATATGTAGTCCAAAAAGTTTAAAATTAAAAACGAAATTTTTAACCGTGGTGTCTTCTGACTTCACTTCTTCGAGTATGGTTAACAGTACATTACACAGAGCAACAAAGATTTGGAAAATTGCCAAAAAATTTTACCAGTTCTTGTCACCACGATTCTAGGTGCGTTGGTAATGTAGTTAAAATATTCAGCAATTCAGCTATGAAGAATTGTGCAGATTCTGGCATTGCATATTTCACGGGGCAACACTTTGTTACCAGCTTATGAGATGGTAACAAAATTTACCGGTTACAAGACTACAGAGAATGCGAAAAGGGTTTAAAAATAGGTAGCAACTTTGTTTACTGGTTACAAAATTTTTTACCAGCGCAAAATAGACCTGTCAGAGACAATAATGAACCGGTTCTTCCATCGGTGCAAGTGTTTTCTGGGGCAGAAGTCGTTACGAAGGCGTAAAATAAAAATTTATTTAACAGAAAAAGAGGAAAAGATGCGACAATCAAATAATAATATGATAAATAACATAACAAATTATTTCAAGCAGCGATCTAAGCCTCTCGCAATGCATTGTGAAAGTGATTTAGAAAGAAGGATTGTTGACTTTTTTGATTAACATAAACGTTCAATTATGTTAATGCAAGATATAAACCTTATTTATTTGAAGCGTGCGAAAATGCGAAAAGGGAGGTGCAAAATTTTAAAGAAAAATGAGGAAAAGTCGTAAACAAAACCTGCATATTTTATTGTTGCCGCTACTCAGTCAGTCAATCTTCCGCCTGTGTGAACAACAATCGTCAATGCAACCGATAGCTAAACCGCAAAACCCCTTCAACTACCGACCGTTCGACCAGCAAGCCAACCAAACAACCGGTCGACCTAATTCACACAAACTACTTTTAACCGATTGTCCGTTGTAATGGTTTTGGGTTGAATGATTTCTCTCTACAAGCTAAATGGTTTTAAGGCGTAAATCTTAAAATTTTTATGAATACAAACGCGGCCGAGTCTGAAAAGGAATTGCGAAAACAAACACAAACACACACAGAATTGAGCACTCAAGCAATAGTTGCAAAGCAAGAAGGATAAGAGAGAAGTAAAAAATCAGAACCTGCATAAGTGATTTATAAAGTGAAAACTTTCTGTTTGTTTACACTGTCGACCACCGAAAGCAAGAAAATGCCAAACAATGGGAAAGATTCCAAATGTGAAAGTATTGGTTTTGGTAAACCTTATACTATAAATATTGGTCTTCGGAACTGTCCTCCCTCAATTTAAATTTGTCAAAGTTCGATTTTATTTCCCATCCATGTAGTACTTGAAGTTATGATAAATATTCGAAAGCGTTGGTGTTTGTGTGTTGGGCAAAAGGTTGTTTTGTTTGTACAGAAACTTAACAACATCTCCTAACCGCAGCGGTTGGGCAAAATAGACAATCGAAGGGTTAGGGGGAATTGAGTATAGGCCCCCATGAGAGCGTATGGCGTAAAAGCCGCCATAAGCGGTTTTGCCAATATTCAACTTACCTAATCAGTTAACATTCGTTTAGTAGGATATCGGAGTTATGATAAGACAGAAAGTTTGTTGTCGATACTCGTATCATTATAATATTCTGATACCCCTATTCAATATTTACATTAACCAAATATAGTACAAGTTCTACAGTGACTTAAACAATCGTTCACAAGGTGATTTTTTTTTTTTAAATACATATTAACAGCCCGATCCTGTGCACTAAATAAATACAAAATTTTTGTAATTTGTCAATTTTTTATTATTTCAAATTTCCTCTTTATTATAGTCTAGTTAGTGTAGACTAAACGTAATTTAGGTACGAAATCGTCAATGATTACTCAACACGTCAACTTAGCCAGAAGCGAAAATAGTTTGTTCTTATATTTTCCGCTTCAGCTGATGGTCGCTTTGCCGCCTAGAAGCCTCATAAAAAAATTCCTGAACAAAAATATATTGCTTTGGCCAATATATTAGGTTACGTTACGTAAATTAAGTGTAGACTAACTGAACCTTTATTCTTAAATTACATGAGCTATAAAACTATATATCCAAAAATCGTCTGAAGTTTCACATTCAAGTTTTAATTTCAATGAAAACGGTTTAAGTTTTTCTAAATTAATTAAATATTTTCTACGTACCGATTAGAATAAGCACTCCGCTAGAGAGAAACAAAGTAATTGTGTTTTTATATAACTTCATGGCTAACGGCAAAGCGAGCGTGTGGCTATTTTCTCGGGCAGCTTGGGAGCTTGGGTCCCAGAACATCTCAACATTCGCGGAAATAAAATTGCGGATAACTTGGCCAGGAAGAATTGCACATTGGCCTCAATCGAGGACCGGATCATACCCAAAATCGGTTTTAAGGTGGCCAAACGCATGTGGCTCTTGTACCACCCTAAGAGAAAACACCACTTATTGCGAGACCTGTAGCGGTTTTTACTGGACAATATCCGGTTGGCACTCACACATAAGACTAAGCATCACCTACATCGGAACTAGAAACAATGGATCACCTTTTTTATTTTTATAGGAAAATACACTGAATTTTTGTTTAGCTTGAAAATTTTGTCCAACTAAATCTACGGATGTGGAAAGGAGTTTTTCGAAATATTCAACAATTTTAAATTACCAGATGAGGTCATTTTCGATTGATTATTAAAAAAATATATATATATTATTTTATATTGTTATTCCGAGATTATTAACTAAAAATTTTGAACAAATTAAATAAAACTTCATTGATTTTGCATACTTATGAGCAGAGACATAACTATTATAAGAGAAAAGAGTAAAAGTCAATCAATAATCATTATATTAGGATAAATATTTTTCGAGGCATCTATAATTATTATTCAAGGATTTATATTATAAAAGTCCTTTCATAATAATTATCAAGCAGATAAATATTTTTAAGTCTTCAAAGACTTTTATTTTAATACTTATATTATAAAAGTCTTTTCATAATAATTATCATTGAGATAAATATTTTAAGTCTTCAAAGACTTTTATTTTAAGACTTATATTATAAAAGTCTTTTCATAATAATTATGAGCGCGAAAAATTTTTTAAGTCTTAAAAGGCGGGACTTGGTCAAGAGCATTTCAGGATTAGTTGGTGACCAGCTCGGGGCTAGGTGGGGACCAGTTCAAGACTAGGTGGGGACAAGTTCGGGACTAGTTGGTGAGTAGGTTGGACCAGTTGGAGTTGGTTTGGGACCCGTTTGGGCCTATATACAAAATTTGTTTGGACTTAATTATTATCAAAAGACTTTTATAATTCTTACGAAAATTTTGATGACTTTTTTAGAACTCCACCATGAAATAATTATTATTCTGAGTCTCTGTTTATGAGGGTATTTTGCTACTTTCAGTGTTTGTTTTCAGTGCTTTCTAGCATATTTTTGCGAGCCCTGATGATCATGTTAAATACTCGTAATAAATGTTCAGGCTAGCGATGTATAAGGTAGTGCTCACGTAATTACGAGTGCACTGCAACTAATAGGTAAAATATAGGTATATAAATGAGTACCTAAGTACATCTCATGAGAAAATTAAACTTAACTCTCCTTATTGTTTGTAAATAAGAAATTTATTCCACATTGTTGCATTTGTGGAAACATTTAAATATATTAATAAATTAACAATAGTCTAGAGATTGATGCATATAAATTATTATTTAGCCATTTTTGTTTAAATATAAGTTGCACACAAACACACCATAGTTTTCGAAATATCACTATAAATATTCTAGGAATCCGTTTTACTTACTTGCAACTACACTTCAATAGCAAATATGAAACCATTAAAGTTTTTATATCGCATTTAAATAATTTTGCCGCATATACATATATGTACATACATGCATACATAAGCAAATATTCATTTGCATACATAGAAGTGCAATATTTATTTACCAAATAAAATTTCACACAACTTAACTTTTTCACCAGCTGCTCTCTGGCCGTGGTTTTGATTTTAGTTGCAATTTCACATACAAGTACACATCTATTTATACAAATATATGTATGTATTTGCATAAGACAGAATCGCATTTATAAAAGTTTAACAAATATTTGACCTTCATATTTTTGTTAAGTGTTTCATAACATAAAAGGTAGAACAACATTTTTTGCCGATTCCGAACGGTAAATAGCTTTAACCCTGCCGCACACTTGGAGTGCCCTACAAATTTTTTTCAAAGGGTTTGCAAAGAGCTTAAATTTTTTGTATGTGACTTTGGTGGACATAAATCAAGAATAATGCGAAAAATCGTATTTTCCTGCTGGGGTCTTACTATTTAAATCAAAATTTTCTTCTGTGGTCATTTTGTTAATTTATGTACATATGTATTTACGTGAAAAAATTGTAAATATTTTAAACAATTATATTTAGAAACTAATAATTCTACTTTCTTTTCTTAATTTATTTACAGCAATGAAAAATTCTATACGTGTTGCGATGAACCGTACTTGGACATAACATTCAACATCACAATGCGCCGCAAGACGCTCTTCTATACGGTCAATCTCATCATACCCTGCATGGGTATTAGTTTTTTAACCATATTAGTTTTTTACCTGCCATCGGACAGCGGCGAAAAGGTACGTACGAGTGCGAGTGTATGTTATAAATTTGGTAAAATATATGTATTTACAAAGTTAGTATTTTAAGATATTAAATTTAGGTACTTACATAAGTGATTTAATTTAAGGTAGATACATTTTTACTTAGACTAAGGCTACCTTAGGTCTTAAATTGCTTCTTATACAAATATACGGCCCTATAGCGAATTTCACATGAACAAATATGCCCAAAAATTATAAAGCAAAACAAAAACAATTTTTCCCAATTTGTTTTTGTTTTGCATGTTAAATTATGGGAAGGATTTATTCACATGGAAGTGCCGATGTGGCTGATAATTTCGCCTTCGATTTCACTCACCTACAGTTCACAATTTAGTTGACATACTTACATAGTTGTACATTTCGTCAATTAATTCTAATTTAAAAAAAAATTGCCAAGTCCTTTCGATAAATTATTGAAATTACTATTCAAACTTTCGTTTATTTCCTGGTCCTCTTTTCGTTTTCATTTTTGTCTATTGTCACATAAATATTTTTCAAATTATGTCGAGTACCAGAAATGCGTTCCCGAAAACGAGAAATATGACCTCATGAGCATACATATGTGTACATTTGCATACCTTAAATTGGTAAAAAAAAACAAATAGATACATAAATATTAGGGTGGTTGACTCGGTTGTTCCAAACCGGTTTCAACCGGTTTTTTTATCTTGATTTTTCGATTTTGATAGACTTTTTTGTGTTGATTACGAATCCATAAGTATAAAGTTTCCATCAGCTCCAGATTTTTAGAAAAACGGGGTCAAATTGTCAAAAAATCGCGTTTTTTTGCAATATTTGAGGAGCTCTACCAAAAAAACAAAAGGCTTAAATTAAAGCTAGAACTCTCGACTACTAACTCTGAATATAACATCCCTGCACATTTGCCTGATGGTCACTTATATGAAATCATTTGAAAAACAAAAACTGATTGCAAAACAGGGATTGTAGTCGAAGGTTCAAGCCCTAATTTCAGCCTAAGTGGAAAGTTCTATCATCTTTAGTTTAATTGATGTAGGTACTCAAACTTCGCCAAAATCAGATCAAGGTGCAGGGAAGGTATTTTCAGGGACAGAAGTCGAGAGCTGTAGCTTTATTTTAAACTAAAGTGGAAGCTTCTATCACCTTTTGTTTTTTTTTTTTGCTAGAGCTTTTCAAATATTGCAAAACCCGATTTTTGACACTTTGACCTCGTTTTTCTCAAGCTGTTTCTGTTTTTCTGAAGCTGTTGAAAACTGTATACTTGCAGATTCGTAATCAGCACAAAAAATTCTATAAAAAAACGGCTTTAGCATGTGCCGCACCAATTTTTTTTTCCATTTTGGTTGGACTGTGATATCGAATAAACCGAATGTTTTTATCGAACAAAGCGGTTTTTCTCATTGCATACAAATCTTGGCCTCTCAATAAAAATTTTGAGTTTTTCGAAGTTTTCAAGGCTTTTTCTAGTTTAAGGAAAACCCACTCCTAGGTTATTTGGGGATGAACATTATATCATATTTGATCCAAATAAATACATAAATGTTTGGCGCTTAAAACATTTTCTACTTGATTTGGTCGAGCTTTTTCTCCAATTCGTGTTCTTCTTCTTAAACCATGGACCTCCGTAGTAGCAGTAGGCACCTCTAAGCACTCGGCTACGGCGGCAAGAGCACTACTCAAATCCGAACAATGTCAGAAAAAACTTTTAAATAATACCAAACGTGAATTTCCACTGATTTTTATTTGTTTTATTTTTTATCTAAAAAAATTTGCTCTTATTTTGCTGTGCTCTTTTCTAAATAAAAGCTATCTTTAATGTTGTTAGTTTAATTTTAGTGGTTGGTCATGACTTCATACCAACATAAGCATTTCATTGTATGAAAACTATGTAAAATAGAAGTGGTTTAACCGTTTTTTTTTCTTAAGTTCAAAATCGGGATGCGGTTTTTTCAAATTGCAATTTTTCGAATAACTCGAAACCCGGATTTGGAAAAAGGCGAAAATTCGAACACCCTAATAAATATGTACATTAGCTCATATGAAAAAACTTGAACACAATGTGTGTATGAGCATTTAAGTAAAAAAATTTCGTATCAAATAATTTTATTTAGTAAATCGGCATTACTTTATAAAAACAAAACGCGGCATTAACATTTAACACTAAATTTCCATTAATTACAACTTAATCAAAAATTCACACATTGTGATTGTGCAAAAATTACCGTGTTAATTTACCTTTAAATCATTGAAAAATCAACGTTCCGCATTGCACGCTTAGTTAATTAACCACGGCGTATGAGTGATCAATAATAATATGTGATTTTGATATGTAATCTGAACGCAAAATATGTATGTGCAAGCATTGAATAATTCACCAGAAAGGTAATGGCGTGGCAGCGAAATGCAAACAAATTAAATCAAAAATGGGCAAAAATAAATAGTTTACCAACAAAGGCATAGGCGCCTATAAACAGGAAATAGTATATAATATAAGGTTAGCAGTTATGCACATCTATACATACATACATGCAATATTTGCATATACGAGTTGAAACCACAAAGCCGCATTCCGCAAAGTCTATTTATAGCCGGGAATTATTCTGAAATTATCAATAAAATTTTGCAATAATTACAAGTGCCTAACGTCATTATATGTATACATTTGTATGCACCGACATACATATGTATGTGCATATATGTACGTTTATATATAGATACACCTTGTGAAATAGTGATTTGCAAATTTTAAATTTTAATTCATAAAATGGAAAATATTCAAATAAGGATGGAATCAGCAAACATAAAATATCTATATTTAAAAATGGGGGCACTCGTATATGGAACATTTGTTCATTAGTGGCGTGAAGCAAATGTATGTAATTTTTTTTTTCTTTTTTTTTGATTGCACTATAGTTTTAAGTTATTCAAATACAGTGACTCAAACAAGTTACCACGTTTTGATTTTATTTAAATATTCTCTTCTTTTAAAATTTAGTTTTTTTCTATAAAAATATTGTCGGTGGTCGCACTAGCCTCGTTATCAGTTTAAAAATTTTTTTTCTATAGTGTACTTCATTTTTGTAAACTTAATAAAAAAAAGTAACTACACCGCCAGATAACTATACAGGTGTGAACACCCGGGTAACCACATTGTTCAAGCTTTCGCAAAACTTAACTAGTTTTCATCAAAATTATAAACTTCTCAGAATCTTTAGAACATTTTTGGGTATGCAGTTTTATAGTCCATACAATTTTATTCGAATGAAGTACAAGTTTCAAGCGGTTAAAAAATCGGGTTGATTTTTTTTTTATTATTATTTTTTGGTACGGATTTTTTTAGTTTTTCCATATAAGCAGGAATTTCTTGTGAAAAAAGAGGAAGACCGTTCGCAGAAAAATTTCCAAATACCAACGACAGTTCTTAAAAACTGCACTTGTAATATTTATAAAAAAAACCGCAGAAGCAATCACAAAAAAATTATTAAAAATCAACTCGGTCTTTTATCCTACAATTCATTCAAATTATATGGGCTATAAAATTTCATAATCAAAAATTTTCTATAGATTCAGATAAAAAAGTTTGAAATTTCAAAGAAATTTTTTTGTATTTTCCTAAACTTTATATTAAGTCTGAAACTTTGATTTATATGGATCTTGTTAAATCATGGACAATATATTTATGGAAAAATACCAAAACAATTTAACTTTAAAATGATCTATGGATAGATCAATAGTGTGATTAGTGAGTCAAGAAGAGAAAAATGTATGAAGAAATTTACTGACCAAGCTATTTCTACATATTTGCATTATTTTTAAATATTGTTATTATTCATTGATTCGTCTTCCTACTTGGTGCTACAACCGGTTTTTGGGTTGGGCCGAGACCAAAAAACTTCGGCGATTTCCTTTCTGCCTTGCAAATAATTATAAATTTTTTTATAATTGCTGTAAAATCGTTTACAATAAATATTTTTTGATCGAAAAAAAAAATATTTTTCATTCGAAATTTTCAGCAATAGAATTGTGATGAAAAATTAACTACAAAATTTTACTAGATATTTATTATGAACATGCATGTTATGGACTAAAACAATGCATCATGATTTTATGGGTTGAAGATTTTTGAAAGGAAATATTCTTGTTCGATTTTATACCAATTCTATAAACAAATGTGTAAATGTAAACCGATTTCAAAACAAAAAAAATAATATAAAAAAAACTTTTTAATATACAATGCTTTTATAAATGGACTAAAAAGTAGAAAATAATA